TAATGACAGACACATAGACCAATGTAATAGAATTGAGAACCCAGAAACAGATCTATCGACGTATGGTCAGCTGATCTTTGACAAAGGGCCGAAATCCATTAAATGGGGGAGAATGTTTGTTTAATAAATGGTGCTGGCAAAACTGGAGATCCATTTGTAGAAAAATGAAACAAGATCTGTACCTCACACCACACAAAAAAATCAACTCCAGATGGATCAAAGACTTAAAAGTAAAACTTCTAACTATAGAGTTCCTCAAGGAAAAACTAGGGGCAAATTCAGGGGCCCTAATATATGGCAGAAATAGACTATCAAGTACAACCCAAAATGCACAAACCAAAGAGAAACTAGATGAATGGGACCTTCTAAAAACTAATTTTTATGTGCTTCCAAAGACTTGTCCAAAAGAATCAAAAGAGAATCTACAGACTGGGAAAAAATATTTGGCAATGACATATCTGACAAGGGACTTATCTCTAGAATTTATAGAAAACTCCAATACCTCGATAACAAAAAGACAAATAATCCAAGTAAAAAATGGGCAGAAGACATGAATACACACTTCAGCAAGGAGGATATTCAGGCAGCCAACTGACATATGAAAAAAAAGCTCACAATCATTAGCCATTAGAGAAATGCAAATCAAAACAACAATGAGATGTCATCTTGTTCCAGCACTAGTAGCAAAGTTCAACAAGACACAAAATAACAAATGCTGCCTAGGATGTGGAGAGACTAGGACTCTCATACACTGCTGGTGGGACTGTAAAATGGTACAACCACTGTGGAAAGCAGCATGGCAACTCCTTAAAAAGTTGAAATTAGAAATACCATTTGACCCAGCCATTTCATTCCTAAGTATATATCCTAAAGAAGTGAAAGCCATGACAAGAACAGACATATGCACACCCATGTTCATCGCAGCACTATTTACAATAGCCAAAAGATGGAAACAACCTTGGTGTCCATCAACTGAGGAATGGACAACAAAACTTTGGTACATACGCACAATGCAATACTATACAACCCTAAAGAATAACCTAGAATCTGCAAAACACCACATAACTTGGATGAACTTGGAGGACATTATGCTGAGTGAAATAAGTCAATCACAGAAGGACAAATATTGCATTAGTCCATTATTGTAAAAATCAAGGAAAGGTTTATCTATGGAAGGAAACTTTCTTTGTTGGTTACCAGGGGTGAGAGGGGAGGGGAGAGAACACTGTTAGATAGGTAGCGATAAGTATTGATTTGGGTGAAGAGAAGGGCAATATACCAAATGTGAGTGATCAACATGGTGACATTGAGGAAGAGGAAGACATAGAGAAGTACATGGGAGGTACAGACAACAAAGATGAATCCTTTTGCACATATAGTACTGCATTGTCAATGAAAGCAAACATGGGTATACGGGTGGATAGATGGGTGGACAGGTTGAACTTCATGTCTATGAATTGGGGAGTATACCCAAGACCATGTACAGGGTTGGCAGACAATGGTCCTATAAGTATATTTGTATGATCTGAATTCCCAGGTATATAGTAGAGCTGACAAGGGACAAGGCTGTAGTCACTTCTTGGTCACAGCCACTTACCCAGAAGCTGGGTAGTTGAGCCTATGGGCTCAGGACCATAGTCACAGGAGACATCAAGCTCAACTGGCATAACATACTATACAAAACATTGTTCTACCTCCTACTTTGGAGAGTAGTGACTGGGATCTTAAAAGCCTGCAAGCAGCCATCTGGATGCAACGATGGGTTTCTCCTCGTCCACCACAAAGAAGAATGAAGAAAACCTAAGATTCATGAAAACAGTTAGTCCTAGCAACTGGTACACCATGTGATCCACAGCATGTATGACTATGAGAACAGAAGAACTAGATTGTGCCTGGCTACCATCAACCACTCAGAGGGCTATCTATGTAGGAGACCCTGGTTAGAGAGGGAGAACAATGTGAACAAAACTCAAAAGCATTTGGGGAAAAAAAAGGGGGGACCAGGTTTCCTGGTCTGATAGAGTCTGGTGGAACCACTGAGACTATGGCCCACATGCCCTGCAGGTCTAGAATTGAACCCACACCTATGGCTCCCAGCCAAGCAAAAGACAGGTATAGGAGAATACACTCCTTGGAGAGAACAATAATGGGAGAAAGAAGGGCTGTTTATGCACAGGGAGAGAGCTCAGGGGTCAGGGGTGCATGGAGAGATGGACACAGGGAAGAGGTGACTGTCGGGAGGAAGTGGGAGGGGAACTGTTGCATTGGGGTGAATTGTCGTCAATGTCATGAGACAAAGTGTATGTGAACTGCTGTATGGAAAGTGAATTTGCTCTGTAAGTTTTCACCCAAAAATCACAATAAAAAAGAAAAAAAGGAAAAATAAAAAATTCCTGATTAAATACTATCAACTATTGTCAATTCAGTGTAACTTCTATTAAACCAAAAAATCAAACTCACTGTCGTCGAGTTGGGTCCAACTCATAGAGATGCCTCTTGGGTTTCCGAGGGAGCTCTGGTAGTGTAGCACCTAAGGCACTGAACTGCTAACCAGAAGGCTAGCAGTTCAAACCTACCAGCCACTCCTTGGAAGGAAGGTTGGGCAATCTACTTCCGTAGTGATATCGCCTCAGAAACCCAAGGAGGGGCCACTATAAATCGGATCCAACTCCACGGCAGTGAGTTTGGTTTTTCTTTTTATCACTACAGAAGTAGATTGCCCAACCTCCTTTCCGAGGAGTGGCTGGTGGGTTTCAACCACCAGCCTTCTGGTTAGCAGTCAAGTGCCTTAGACACTATGCCACCAGAGTGCCCAACTTCTATTAGGGAAGCCAAATATACAATACACCTTTCTTAACTCACTGAATTACCTTAAACTTAATCTCATCCAGCTTCAAGTCTTCTGTCCAAATTTTCTTCATTCTGAATATTTAAATAATTTAGCTAAGAAGCTAACAGCATTTGCCACACAAACTTTTCAAAGAACCTTACTTTCTTTGAGAAAAGATATTTATTCAGTTAACTCATTCAATGCATAATCTATCTATACTTTGGACAAGATCCTGTGGGGGAAAAAAAGAGGATACCATAGCTCCTGTAAGGAAGAAAATTACAGCCTAAGTGAGTAAGGAGGGCATGTACATAATTAATATAAGAATAAGGAAAAGAGTCACTAAGTGCAATAAGAGAGTAAAAAGTATTAAAAGAGTTCAAAGAAAATTAATTCATCTTT